GGTGCTTTGGAGGGCTGGATACTGTTCACGTCTTTTCCTTTTGTATTGATCTTTGCGATTCGATTGCTGAGGTGTAAAATGCATAAATAAGACTCAGGTAGCCTTCCTTTGAAATCTCACCTGGTAAAAATGTTCTGCTATAGATTATGAAGGCTGTAGCATTTAATAATATCAGGCACAGCAAGGAGAAGGCAAGATTTTGATGTCCTTATGAATAGTGAATGCTGGAGGAGGCTGGCACCGTTCAAGGTCAGTTAAAATCTGGTTGAAAGTTGCTGTTTCTTTGTGAGCAGAGGAGTTCCTGCCTTGGAACTGCCACATGCAATGTGTTTGTACAGAGCCCAGGAACAATGTGGGTTGACCCAGCGGGCTGGAAGCTCAAATGCAATGTTAAATAATACTGATCTTAATAACAACCTATAAAACCTGTAAAACCTTCCTCAAAAGCCAGGAAATTTGCATGGATCCATCGGTGCTGCCATAGTCTGATGGATCATCTGGCCGGACCCTGCTCTCAGGGAAGCCAAGAACACACAATTATTTTACCGTTTATACCAACAAAAATCTAAAATGGAACTTCCCCACAGACTTTTTCTTCCCATTGAGAAGCCATCATTTTCCAAAAATATATTGGCACGAAAATCCCATTTGAATGGAATAATCAAGACTTCCATGGGATGAACCCTCTTTTTCTGGCTGAACCCTTGGTTTTGCTGGTAAATTCTGCTGACAAAACTGTGATGACACCACTGCAGGCAGGCACATCCCAGCATGTTTGATTCTCCTGAGAGGAAATCTCAGCTTCTAATATTTGTTGCTAAGAAGAAATGAAAGCTGAAGAGCAAGGTGAATTCTCTAAAATAGAATTTTGGACCACTGATTCACACAATTGTCCTTGACCACCTAACAGCCATATTGGCTACGAGTGGAACATGACCAGAGCAGCTCCTACTGCTTCAGAAGAATGAGAAAATAAAATCCAGAGAAGGAAAAAATCTTCTATTTTGGTATACTTAACACATACAGTTATCTACATGTCCTATATATCATTTAACAAATTGCTTTGCAATTCTTACAGGGCGTGGTATAATGACTGATTTAAAATCACTGCATTGCTTAAACTGCATTGTTCTTCATCAAGTTGAGTCATTTTTATGTGAAGTGTCAAGCTCTCTAACAAATAACTGCTGCCAGACAAATCAAGTTCCTCATCTTAAAGCTACGGCTAAATAGTTTATAGCTTTAATCTGCTCACTGAGGTGTGCAGTCTATGACAGTAATTATAAATGCAAGGAGAAATTATAGCTGAATGCTTTAACTGCATTAGGAGCCATTTGATGAACAATCATGATTGCCTGCTCATTTTCAACAATAGAGGGCAAGTTAGTGTCAGTGCATTAGAGGATTTTCAGTTCTGCTCTGCTCTTTCTTCCATTTACCACAGAATGTCAGTTGTCTCCTATAAAGTAGAAAAAAAAAGCGCCGCAGAAGCTTTAAACTTGATGGTTAAAAAAAGACAAAGGAGGAAACAGAGAGAAAAACTGTTTATCATTATGACTCTTTTTTTTTTGTTTTGCAGCAACCTTACTTTCAAATTAGTTCATCTCAGGTAGCTGCCTGTTCGCTCATCGGGGTCTTTTGAAACAGAAATTTCCCCAGTCAGGTTGGTTAATTTGACTTTATGGAGATTTATTTCTATTAAAGTTGTAGCCAAGGCCACAGAGAGCCTCAGTTAGTGGCCAGTTCCAAGCCAATCCCACCTGGCTCTGAAGTGAGAAATACAGTTTTGCCCTGCCTTTTTCCTCAGAACAACATAAAAATTCTAATTCAGTTGAAGAAATGAACAAATGTTCTTCAAGGTACAAGTCAACATGCAAATTACTTCTAATTAAAGCCATGTTTCCTAATGTTCATGGGTTTTCTATGAAGAATAGCAATAAAAACAAATTTGAAGTGGGTTAAATGAAAGAGAATAGAGATGTCTGATTGTTGTATATTACACATAATCTTACTTTATATTACTAAACCCATATCACTTAGAAGAATTCAGGAAAACACCAAAGATGACTATAAAAGATATATATATATATCTTTTTACATTTAAGAAGAATTTATAGCAAATTTGTTATAAACAGCCTCTCAGAGGTCTTAAAAATAAATCCATATCCATAACACATTTTTCTACAGTACTAACCCAGATTATTCATTTATATTTTTAATGATAGCTAACATTTGACAATATAACCTCTACTAGTAAACGCCATTGAAATATAAAATACTTTATGTATTTCTATACTTCAAGTACTCTTTCTACTGTTTTACTTCCATTTATTTCAATCTGTATTCTCTATTTTTATGCCTATTTCACTGCAATATTGCCTGCAAGAAGGAAACACAAATGCATGTGTGTGTTTTAAGGATCTCAGCTTTATATTTCTCCTTTCTAAATACTCTGCTCCCCTCTGTTATTATTCAAATGTATACTGGATCTTAAAAATAACATGGTAAGGGTAAGTAAACTCTGAAAATCCCTGTTATTTGATTTAGTCCCCTTGCAGATTTCTGAAGTATCCATATGAATAAACTCTGGCCTCCCCACTCCCAACCTCGTCAGAACTTCAGGGAGGCTTTCGGCTCCGAAACTGTAATAAAATCTTTACAATGCCATCCCAAATACCCCATCATTTCAGACAATTTGTGCTATCATGCATACCAACTGAAATTATAGCTCCAGATAACAGTGCTATCACTCTGTCATTGCAATTTAAATATATTTTTTCAAAGGTAAGATACAACCTGCATCTTGATATAAATTAGAAATGGATGAGTATTACGAGGACAGCAATTTCTCAGCATCCAGAGGCAGGAAGGACAGTCCCTTATTTATGTAGTTACACATCACCTGAATAATATGTCTCCGTGCAGGTTATTACAATGCAGAAAACACTTTTCTTCTTTTTTTCCCCTTGGAGATTTTTTCCGCCCCCTTTGTATTTGTTCCTCCAATCCTCAGCAACAGTAACGTGTTTACAAAGGTGGGTGTTTGGTTTGCTCTGAGTAATAACACGGTGCTTTCAAGACCAAATCTGAAACATTTGTCACACATTAAGCCATGAATGTGCCAAAATAACTGTTGTATTAATATATCTGGCAGATAGCTTTTGTTTGATAGTCCCCAAATTATTGGTTTGCTCTGATATCTCTTGTGTGAAAACTATGAATGGCAGAGTCTTAATAATCATTAAGTGGTGGGGAAGGAAACAAAGTATGGGATGTTTATCCCAACCCAGTCTCTCAGGGGTGTTGATTTGGAGTGGCCAGGTAAACAAGCAACATTCTAATGTTGGGTTCAAGTGCCCAAATAGACACTTTAGGGTATTAGTCCTATTTAGAAAACAAACTCCTTAGGAGTGAGATGGAATTTTGCTGGCTAAAATATGCAGGCAGCATTAATCTCCTCCAATGCAGACAGCACGTACAAGATGTATGCAAAACTTAAATCTTACTGCACTTGAACACTGACATTATACTCCATGGCAATAGCTTACAGTACCAGCCCAAAGTAACCCTTGATCAGTGGTTTAAATTATTCAAAAGTAGCATTTTTAATGGAGCTTAAGTGACGCAGAGCCCTCGTGCTGGCTTTGGCTGCAGAAAGTGTTTCCTAAAACATGAATATTTGCAGCAAACAAATGGGAAATCTTCCCCCAAATGGGGACTGAACCCCATGCTCTCAGTCAGCCAGAGGATGGCCACAAAGCCAGGTGGCATCAGTGACAACTCACAGCACATCTTTCATTTTCACCATCTAATAAATTCATTTTCTGAATGTTATTCAAGTAATGAACACCTTGGAGAAAACCTGGATCTGCACATGGTTGTTCTGTGAACACAAGCAGAGCCTGAGTCTGCTGGAGGAATTGCTGGGAATAACTAAACAGAGCCCTCCTGGAAAAAAAAAACTGGTTAGAACAAAAAACTTCTATTTGGACTTTTAGTTGATGTTCTGCATATTTATTTCAATCAAGAATATTCAAGTTTGTGAATCAAGTAAAATTAAAAATGCAAAAATGGTGTGGCATCTGAATATTACATTACATGTTATAAACATTGGTTGTGGCAACTGGTGTATCTTGCAGCAAAAAAATAGCAACACTAACGCAGCAGTATCCTACTAACAGGTCTTGGAAATATTAAGCTTGTAAAAAATCTCAATTAAGCAGTAACTCCCCCAGGTTATACGAGAACTTGCACTGAAGTCAGTGATGTTTATGGATTGATTTCCACCAACACAAAGCAAAATATAATCAAACATCTTAAAGATTAAAAAAGGAATGATGGAGAGAGAGGTTAAAATGATGTGACAAAAAAGGCCACTCACAGTAGCAAGTGTTTAAGTAAGTGTAAAATATTAAAATATTTTACAAAACTGAACATCCAAATATCAACAGAAGAATAACTGAACTTCTAGATAGGAACTTTTCAGAGTTATTTGTAGATTCTCGAGGCTGTGTTTGAGATTATGAGAAACTTGGAATAATTGAGATTTTGCTAATTTGACTTTTGAATTTTCTTCTTTTTCCCCATCCAAATCAGATTTATTGGTGTACTAGCACTGAGTGAGGTAATAACCTTTTGGGTTTCAGTGCTCTTTATCTGCTCTTTTTCCATTCTCACTGCAAAGAGTAGCACTTTGTTCTTGCATTCCACACAGAAGTGCAGTGGATGTGAAATGATTTATTCTTAGGAACAAAAGGGAAATGGGCAAACAGCTATTTTGCAAATAATGAGCAGCAACATTTCTCTCTAGGGCAGTGTGGGTTTGCATTGACCAAGCTCTCTTCCTGAAAACGTTATAAAATGGATGTGTGCATGCGAGGGAGGAGCGGAGCAGCATACACGATGCATTTTATACTGTTTTCCTACTTTTACCAAAGCACGGAGCCTGACGGAGCCTCCTGGAAATGCTGAAATGAAAACTCACTATAGAGCATGCATACCTTAAGAGTTATTCTTCATCCACTTCTGCTACAAATTGTGAATGGTGTTCTGGTGACTTGCTGTGTGTTTTGCTTAGATGAAGTTTTACTGCATGTTTGCTCGCAAATGTCCGACAGCACAACTTACATTTGAACTTAGAGTCTGTGTCCTCTTCTCCAGCTATTGTTTCAGGAGATCTTTGAACTGAAACTCTGGAGATTTCTTGCTCTACCTTGGTTTGCTGCTCCACAGCCAGCCTGTTCATGTCTTTCATTTGGAAACCTAGGTGGGATTCTAAGTGGCTAATGTAAGTAGAGGGGGTTCGGAACTGAGATGCACAGTCGCTGCAATAAAAGACTGGATGTCCTTTGTCCATGTTTTTCAAAAACTTTGTTCCTCCGGTTTTCCTAAGTTGATACTTGACATTTGCCAACCAGTGGCTGATGGTGGTCATCGACAGTCCAGTGAATTTGGAAATCTGCATGCGCTCTTGTGGGCCTAGGTCTGATAATAAATATTTACCTTCAGATGTCTGGAAGAGGCTGGAAGCAAACTGAGCTTGCAAAATAAGCAGATGCTGAGGATTCCAGTTTGACTGCCTGCCCTTCCTTTTATGCAGAGTGGAGACTTCCGTGGAGACGTCCTCGAAGCGTCGGACATCTATTTCCAACTTCATGGACGGGATCCTGGAGGATGCAGCAGGTTTTGGTGTGGTAGCTTTGGGAAGAACTTTGACCATGTCAGCGATGTCAGACAGAGCGTGCTTTTGAGGTGGAGAAGTACAAGATTGTGCTTGAGCTGACTCAGCTTTCTTGCCTTTGGATTTGGTCAGGTCAATAGGCTGATCGTTGTTTTCAAACAAATAGTGCCTGGATACACTTGCAGGCTTTGGTGGGGTTGGAGCAGGAGATAAAACTGGCTTCTCCATCATGTTTAGATTGGGTTTGTGGAACATGGAAATTGTGCTAGAGCTGGGGCTGCAGTTGGATTGAGGCTGTAAGGGCTCGGTGGCTTTACCCAGGTGATTGTTCAGGACGGACTGCAGGGCGCTCAGGGGGTTCACACAGGGCAGCTCCGAGGAGTGATTGGCAGCAGCACAGCCATTACTGAGAGAAGCTGCTGGTGGCTCCTTGAGGACTGGCTTTTCTTTTCCACTGTCCTCTTTAATTTTGTCTTCTTCTTTCAAGGGACACGGTTCTGTCTTTTTTGGCTCCACAGAGACTTCAGCTTTGAGGAGAGGTTCCCTCTCGCTCTGGCTGAGCGAGGCCGGCTCAGCCTGGACACCCTCCTTAGCATAGTCCTTTTGTACCTCCTCCTTGTCCTCAGCCTCCTTCTTCACTTGAGTGCATTGGCTCACGTTTGCAGAGATAGGGACCAGAGGCATCACCTTCCACTTGGGTGCTATGGGCCTCAATTTATTGGTCATGGTTGGCCTGATTTGGAGCACCTGGGATCCCACAGGCAAGGAGGGCTTGGCTCCCTCCGAGAGCTGGTAAGCCGCATGGATGCTGGGATACGCGCTCCAGCTGGGAGCTCCGTTCTGAGCTTTATTGATGGCTGTCGTGACAGTGTTCTCCAAGGACTTTAAAATATCCCCACCACCCTTTGAACCGTCTTCTAAATCTTCTTCTCGGAGGTACTGGTATTTCATTGTGGGATCCAGGGGTTTCTGAAGAGTATCTTCATACTCCTCAGTTTTCATTGCTTTCTCATCTTTGTTTGCATCATCAGCTTTATCTTTTTTACTTTCTTTTTTAAGTTCAGAGGCAGGACCTATGCATTCTGCAGATGATTTACTGGTTGATTTTGAAACAGGGCTGTCACTGGCTGGTGCTTCGGACAGCGATTGCATTTTTTCCACAGCTAAAGGATCCAGAACAAGTTGCTTTCCTTTCTTTGAAGCTGAACTTGTGACTTTCAAGAAATGGCCCGTGACCATCATGTGGGTTGTGAGCTGCTGCAAGGTATCATGGGAGCTTCCACATTCCATACACTTCAAAATCTGGGATTTGCAGGCCTCGAACTGCCAGGTGTAGCTGGCCCCGTTCTGGTACCCGTAGCGGTTGTTGGAGGAGAGCTGCAGGTTCGCGTTCTTCTGAGGAGAGAAGGAGTCTGAGAAAGACCCTGTCGTGGAGTCGGGGGAGCAAGGCCTGTTCACATCAAACACACGTTTCTTGGCTGGAGTGACCATTTTTGAAGAAATGGTTGGTACCGGCTCCTTCAAAGGCACTTTTTGGTAATGTTTTGTTTTTATCATATGAACACTCAGATCTTGAAGGGAATCAAAAGAGTCACCACAGAACATACACTTCAGAACTTTTTGTGCATCTTCCTTGTCCATGTCCTGGAACGCCCTTTTCCGGGGCTTGGAGTAGCTGGTAGGTCTGTGCTTGTCCTTTTTGTGGTTGTCATCCTGGTAGTGCCCTGTCTCGTTCATGTGGACTGTGAGTTCCACCAGGGTGTCGTAGGCAGCGCTGCACTGCCGGCAGCGGAACCGGCTGGCGCCTGTGAACACAGTCCCGCACATTTTGCTGCTCTGCCTGTAGAGCTGCACCGAGCTGAACAGGTTGGGCTTGGAGACAGGCCTGGAAGGTAAATTCTGCTGCAAGCTTTTGGACAGTGCGTCTTGGTGCCAATCGAAATCGGCTTTGTTCCCTCCGTTCCTGTTGTCGCAACTCCTCTTTTCGGAGTTGGACAACTTGAAACCCAGCCCCAAGCCTGTCCAGTAAGAGTCCGACAGGATGTTGGCATAGACTGCTGTCATTTTATCCATGCAGTCGTGTGCTTCGCTCTGGCCTTTGGGGTGGGCGCTGCTTTTGGGGTCCTGGGGCTCCCTGGAGCAGATGTTTTTGATATCTGCCACATGGTCACTACTGTCACTCAGCAGTGATTCATTCTCCACGTCCTGGTTGGATATGTGACTGACAGGGGAATTCTGGAAACTGCAGAAATTCCCTTTCTGCTCAGGACCCACTTCGTGCTCCTCATCCGTGCCAGTGTCATTGCTGCTCTGCAGCTGAGCAGTGGAGTTGTTGTCATCGTCATCTTCCTCCTCCTCCTTTATATCTTCCTCTTCCTTTAAATCTTCCTCTTGGACATAACCTGAAATGTAATGTCAATATATGAAATATCCTGTTAAAGGAGAATGTTACAGTTCCAGTTTTCTGCTTTCACTATGTATTTTCTTTACTGGATTTTGTTTTAATCTAGAACTATATTTTATGTTAGTTCTGGAAGTGAAAAAAAGCCAAATTATGTCTCTTTTTTGAGAAGGTTGCTGCATTTTGTTGGCAGATGATCATAATTCTTTATAACTGCCAGAGATCCGAGTTAATAATTTTCCTGTCATGGGAATATAATTCTAACTGTCCTGTAATGGGACAGTTGGAAAATTCATATGGAAGAATTTAAAGTTTATGCTAAAAGCTTCAATTCTATGAAATTGTTTTTAGCCTCAGTGAGAGAAGGAGTTGAATTTGCAAGGAAGAGAAGAAAAATAAGTGTCATAATCTTCCTGGTTCAGAGCATCTAGGTACAGTAACCTTTTGCCATTTGATCACCTAAAAATGCACTTTGGGATGTACAGAAATAATTTATATGTCAAAATACAACATCTGAAAGTGTTAATAGGCATAAGTGAAACCCTTTTGTTTACAAAAGTAATGTGCTGTGTACCATAAAAGCAAATTGTGCTTCAGTAAAATCCATAAATTTCAGGGCAAGAGCCCTTGGAAGTTACAGAAGATTTGACAGAGGTAGATGGAAGTTGATTGTTAAACTGGAAAAGTAGAACAAATCCAGAAGGATTTTATTTGGCAAATTAACTCTTCCGTTCTAAGATGAACTTGATTCTGGAAGAGTATGTTTATTTAGAATAATCCAATTCCTCCCAATTATCTGAAATGCATTTTATGGCTCGTTAAGAACCTGGCTCACTTTGCTCCCTTGAACTTGGTGCTCCTGACCCAAAGATATCCTTCTAGCAAATCCAGAGGAGAGTGCTCCACCTTTCTGATGAGCATCTGGACAAAGGCTTCATTCTCCAATCTGTTTGCATGATCTGACCCTTCCCACACATTTGCCATGAGGCCAAAGATATAACCAGAACCAGAGGAACCGTTCCCTGGATGAAGGTGCAGCACAAGAACAGGAAAATGATGCTCTCTGTGTGATGGGAGCTAAGAAATCCATGTGCCATCTTTCCCACACTCTTGCCACGAATTTAGGAACTGCAGACATCACACAGGCTCAGAGCTGGGCTTGGCTTTCTCCAGGGGTGGTACCAGAAGGTGTCACAACCAGAGGCAAAGACTCAGCAGTGGCTCTGAACAAATGACCTGCACATCACTTTAGCCTGATAAAATAATAATAATCACCCAGGAGGAGGAAAATTGTGCTCTTCAGTAGATGCTTTCAGCAAAGAAGCTAAATATTAAATGTTAAGTGCTAAATACTACAAACAAATCCCTTCAGCATGTGCAGGTCACAGCAAACATTACCAGGTGATCAGACTGGAGCAGCAGCAATGACAGCCCTTAGACCTCAATGGTTTCTTCTCCTCCCTAAACTTTTCCTGAATAAACAGATACCACGTTCCCTCTGTGCTGTGTTTTTCAGGGGACCGAGGAGAAGGCAGGGATATGGAGGTGGCAGAAGGTCCCCAGGTGAGGAGCAGTGACCCTGTGACACTCGGCCCCTCTCCAGGGTGTGTACCAGTGCCAGGCACACCACACAACAAACACAAGGAGGGGATCCAAGGAAGGAATCAGACAAAACACATGACAAAGAGCAGTCCCATAGCTATGGGTCACTGCAAATTGGATTCTCCATTCCAGCACCAATTCTTTGAGTGTCATTAACCCATTTTTCACCAGGACTTAAGTTTTCCTTTGGAAGGTACATACAATTAGTTTATTCCTCACAAGATCCTTTGTCCTTCTCTAGGAAAAGCAGAAGTAGCAGACAGCTGCACATCCCCCACAATATGGATAAAATTTGCTGCTTAATTAGGCATTGACATGTTTACTATAACCTTTACAGAAGAGTAACTTGTGCTGAGGAATCCTCTTTTTTTTTGGTGTCTGTGTAAGATACTGACACAATCTCATGAAAGGGGGAGAAATAACCAGTTCCAGTATCTCCAGAGGGTCTACAGGGAAGCCAGAGAGGGACTGTCCATCAGGAACTGTAGTGACAGACAAGGAGGAATGGCTGCAAAGACAGAGAGGAGGTTTAGATTAGATTAGAGTAGATATATGGAAGAAATTCTGCCCTGGGAGGTTGGGCAGGCCCTGGCACAGGTGCCCAGAGCAGCTGTGGCTGCCCCTGGATCCCTGGCAGTGACCAAGGCCAGGTTGGATGGGGCTTGGAGCAGCCTGGGACAATGGAAAATGTCCCTGCCCATGGCAGGGGTGGCACTGGATTCTGTGATTCTGTGCAGAAAGCACCACCAAAATTTCACAAAACCATCAGTCACATCTGTTTTAATGGCTTAGGGGTTTGGGCAGCTTTAAAAACACATTTCAGTATCCTCTCTGTAAAAGCATTTCTGTTTATGTAAATGATTTAAATTGCTGTGGGCATTTTAAGGACAGTGGAGACCAGTTCTGCAAGACAAACTCAGGTACAAGAGATGCTCGTGTTCTTCCAACAGGGCTTTTTAGTAAGATTTCATTGGACATGAAGGGATGTAGCTGGTTAACAGAAATAACATTAATTTAAGTGGACTTTGCATTATTTATTTTAGAAGTAAAGAGTGTCTTCTATCTGTACACCCACATGCTTTAAATGCAGAGTCTGTAATAAGTAGCATAAATTTTGCACGTCACACTGATGTCCATGTAATAAATTGTTGAGTGACCTGTTCCCTTCCCACCAATTCTCCCCCAGGCTTATTCTGACATTCCAAACCTCTGAGATCCTCATGTGTAACTGTGTTACAGGAAGAAAATAATATGAAAGAAATCCAAACTCAGTAACTGGATGAATGCTTCCTCCCTTTCCTAGATGAGAAATTTTCCCACCAAAATGAAACAGGCCCAGGCAGATGTAAAATGGGAAAAGCACAGTCCTGAAGAAGTGGGAGGCTGAAATGTCACTATCATTAAGAATCGACAAAACTCAGGAACTTCAAAGCATTGAATGGAAGCAATTTTTTGGCTTCCTAAATGGAAATCAGTCTTTGGTTTAGTGCTGCTTGACCTCAAAACAGGGTATGTCAAAATCATGACATCAGTAAGGATAATATAATTATATAGATAATAATCACAAATATAATTCCAAATTATTTGGTTTCTTAATTCCTCTCCGTGTCTTTGTGACTGAATTCATGGCAACCTCAGAAATCTGCTTCTCTAGGAGGAGAGCTGCAATAAACAGCTGGTTCTTTATTCTTCAAGAAGGACATTTTCTTTGCTATTTCTGGAATATTTCCACAGAGGAGCTAAAATAAACCAGGTGCAGTAAATACACCTGCAAAAACTGGGTCTAAAGCACCACCATGCCCTTGGAGCTGGGAGCTTTCCCTGCAGAGAGCACCAAGCCAGGCTCCCAGGGTGAGCCCAGCACCGACATCCAGGACTGCCCTGGCAGTGGCACCACATTATCCATCACTCCTGACCTGAATTGTGCTCTGTCAATACAGCTTTTTGCCAAACATCTTCATTCTGACTGTTAACTTTTCCACCAGTGGATACTATTTTACTATTTTTACCCAAATTTGCTCTTTTTCCATGTCGAGAAACATTTTTTAAAATACATATACATACATATATATATATACATGTTTCTTTCCAAGACTGGAAAATTTATTTTCTGCCAAGAGAAGGGACAGTGAATCATTGTCCAGAACAACTCTGCTAATCCATGTAAACCCCATGGCACCACCTGCATTTCTTCAGCCATACATATTCCAGTTTTCCTTGAAACAACATCATCAGGAAAGCAATCTCACAGTGCTAGAAGGTGATCTTGTTTCCTCCTTGTCTGGCTTCAGCTCAAACATCTTTTTGTGTTTGGCAGAAGGTGTTTCTTTCTCTGAAAGGTTCCAAGCAGATAATGGATAATGACCACTTCTCATTCCTCCTTCTCCACGATGTCGAACTGCATTAAGCACCCACAGACAAATCCTAACCTGGCTCTTTGTAGGAGTTCAGAGCTGCAATTTCATCCCAGTCTCAAAATCAGCTGAAGAGAGAAATTGGCAGCTGGGGGAAAAATAGTTCCCTACTCCGTTGCATAACTCTTTATTAAAGACATTTTGGAATTTAACTGGATTAAAACCAATAGAACACTCTAGAAAAGCAATGAAAGAACTCTCAAGATATGAGATTTGTCATAAAGGAGTGAATTGTATAATTTCAGAGTTTTTAAGGCAACGAAAATGACTTCCTGTTAAGATCTCCAAGGTGGAAAGGAAACACAGGGAAATATTCCTGAATGTGGCACAGAGAGCACCTGGCTCTGAATGATGGATGGAAGGGACAAAGGGACACCTCTGTCACCTGGCCCCAGTGTCCTGCTGGTTTTGAGATTTAGTTCCAAAGCCAAGTGCAGCCTGAGGAAGGGTTTGGACGTCCTCAGAAGAGGCTGAAGATGTTCAGTTGCCTCTTTGCTGAAAGGCCAGTTCATTAATTTGGATAATGAGCATTTTTTGCAGCTTTTGTTGCTGTTTCATTTGCCATCACACCCACTCTCAGTTTGCAGTGGCTCAGTGTGGATCACCACCATGGTGATGAATTTTGTGTCCAAAACAACTTGGCACCTCAAAGGAGGGATTTTTCCCAATATTCCTTTGAGGGTTTTTTTTCTCCCCAAGAAATTTATTTTTCAAGTAGTTACAGCAGCTGATAGCAAGGCATGAATTCCTGCCTCTTGCAGAGTAGGAGAAGGAACACCCACCACCATCCACTGCAGGAGGACAGGAGCAGCTTCTGCAGGAGCAAGGAAAAGAGTGGTTTCCACACTGACAGAATTCTAACACACAAAGGCAATTCCATGAAGCCATAACTATTATTTATATACAATGCTGAAATGAAGCAATTTGGGGCTTTCATTTTGTTGTACTTTAATTAGAGCTGTATTCCAAAGTTTTCTATTAAATA